CCCGGACGCTTACACTTGCATTATTGGCGCCGTCTGTGGGGATTTTTGTTCAAAAAGTTGTGTTTGAAGCTCAGCTATGGCGGACGGAATCCCTAGAAATTTGCAGTCGACATTCGACGAGGCTTGTACGACGACCAGGCCGTTGGGGCACGGCCCTCCTCCGGGTTTTTCTGGCCCATCGCAGACCCCAGTCACTCCCGCACCTAACTTCCAAGGTGTAGGGGCGACGACGGGGGTTCTCGGCGGAGGTGCCAGCTCCAGTCAGGCCCAGGAGGCTCGTTTGGCGGCGACAGCGGCGATGCCGCCACCACCACCGCCAGATCCAACACAACGGCAAGGAGGAGTGCAGGCACAGGGAGGAGTGCCACCGCAAGTAGCCGTACAAACCCCGGGCCAGCAAGTGGTTACGATGACCCGGGAGGAGATGCAGAGGATCGCGGCGGCCGCGGCGGCGCAGGCGGTGCAGCAGGTCACAAGTCATACATCGCACGCCACCACTGCGCCGACAGCGGCAACGGGGAACCAAGACGAGGATGTGTCTAGTTATGGGGAAGGAGGAGCTGGAAGAGATCGGGCCATGGAGAGGATGGCGGAGCAACTACGTCAGTTGCAGGATAAGGTGGAGGGAAGGCCAGAGAGGAGAGCTCGAGGACATCCCTTCTCAAGGGAGATTCTCGCTGCTCCCCTGCCAAACAATTTCAAGGAGACCAACTTGGTGTATGACGGGTCATCTGACCCATCGAGGCATGTGAGGACCTTTGAGAATATGGCGGTGTTGCATGGATACTCTGATTCTGTTTGTTGCAGGGCATTTTTATCGACCTTACGCGGAGGAGCGCTTGACTGGTTTCATCAGTTGCCTTCGGGATCGATTGCTGATTTCGAGGATCTTGCCAGCAAGCTCACTAACCAATATTCGAGCGCAGTGGCACAAGAGAAGACTTACTTGACCCTTATGGCGATGAAGCAGGGGGAGAAAGAGTCGCTAAGAAAGTATGTTGCTCGATATAATAAGACATGTTTGAAAGTGCACTCCGCTTCAGATGAAGTAAAAGCAGGAGGATTGATCAGGAGTCTTCGACCAGGGCCTTGCCGAACTTCTTTGGCAAAGACCCCGGCTCGATCATACGAGGATGTTCTGAAGCGGTGCAGGAAGTACATTAATCTTGAGGAGATGGAGATGGAGTTTGCGAAACTCGAGGGGATGTCCCAACCAGAGCCAAAGAAGGAGCAAAGCCACCCGAGGGGGAGCTCACCAAGGAGAAGCTCGCCTAA